CATCTTGAGAGGTGTAGAGTTTAGAGAGGACCCAGGGAAACATCAAAACCAGGAAAGAACAGGAAAATAGGCCCTGTAAAGTAAGTAAAGTAAGACCAGTTGGGATTACGCTAGGGGGGAAAAACAAGGTGGGCTGTGACTTATGTAACTGCAGTATATACACAACTATTTTAAGGAATAATGAACTGTTCAATACCGCTAAAGGGTGGGGACAAAAAAACCAAAAACACAAACAGAGAACATTCTAATTTTCCTAACTTGTGAGAACAAGTCAGGTTATACGATGGTGTAAGTATATATTTATAATAGGGGAGATGTTCATGATACACATAAGTTACAAAACAGATCAGAGGATTTCCCTGGTGGTGCAGTGGTTAAGAATCTGCCTGCCAGTGCAGGGGACACGGGTTTGAGCCCTGGTCCGGGAAGATCCCACATGCCACGGAGCAACTAAGCCTGTGCGCCACAACTACTGAGCCTGCGCTCTAGAGCCCGTGGGCCACTACTGAGGCCCACGCACCTAGAGCCCGTGCGCCACAACTACTGAGACCCGCGCACCTAGAGCCCGTGCTCTGCAACAAGAGAAGCCACCACAATGAGAAGCCGGTGCACCACAAAGAAGAGTGGCCCCCGCTCACTGCAATTAGAGAAAGCCTGTGTGTAGCAACTAAGACCCAACATAGCCAAAAATAAACAAACAAAATAAATTTTTAAAAACCTGAAATTCTCTAGAAAACATAAACATAATTACCCAGTGAGGGTTTTTTTCCCCCTCCTGACACCAACCAATTCTGACACCAACTGGATGTCCTACAATTCAATTCAATTCTGTCATTAACGATCTGGAGTTAGAGGCAGACTCCACAGGCTAAGGGCTCAATCCCACAAGTCTGCCTTCATTTCAGGCACCAGGTATCGGGTCCTCAGGTTACCCACACTTCTGTCTGACTTGGCTACAAAGTCAAGGTTCCCTACAACCCCTACCCCTTCAGGCTTGGTAATTTGCTAGAACAACTCCACAGAACTCAGGAAAATGCTCTACTTATTATTATAGTTTATTATAAAGAGTACAAATGAACATCTAGATGGAGATGTCCATTGTGGCAAAGTCTGGAAGCGTCCAGAGAGCAGGAGCTTCTGCTCCTGTGGAGCTGGAGTGTGCTACTCTCTGGCACAGGGACGTGTCTGCCAATCTGGAAGCTCCCCAAATCCATCATTTAAGGGTTTTTATGAAGGCCCCATTATGTAGGCACGATTGATAAAATCACTGGCCGCTGGTGAGTAGCTTGATCTCCAGCCCTCTGCCCTCACCAGAGGCTGGAAGGTAGGGCTGAAAGTTCCAAGCTTCTAATCAAAGTCTGGTCTTTTAGGCAAGCAGCCCCACCCTGAATCTCTCTCCAAAGAGCTGCCTCTTAGAACAAAAGATGCCCCTGTCACCCTCACCACTCGGGAATTTCCAAGGGTTTTAGGAGCTCCGTGCCAGGAACTGGGGACAGAAAACAGCTTTCTTATTATGCCACACCTAGTTTCTAAGCCAAGAAATTATAACAAGCAAATTCAGAAGAAAGATCAGAAGATTTGCAAAAACTAAAAAGTGAGTCCTGTCAGGAACAAGAGAGACAGGAAAACCCTAAGACCCTGACACAGCTATCACTATCACCTGCCAAGCACGTCACTGTGTCACAACACAGGACAACCTGATGCCCTCCTGACAATCCTTAGTCCTTGATAAATGTTACACTGTTTATCTCAATATGCTCAGACTGAGAAAACAGAGAAGTACATCCTAGGATATTCCAATATAATAGATTTCTATCAAAAATGATTAATGCTCCTCAGCTTCGAAAGGCAGGCAAACTTCAATTTCTAGAAGTTTCACTTATGTAAAATGATGCCATTTCTGATGATACCATAAAAAACCAAGGCATAATTATTAGGAAAATATATTTTGGAAAAATGAACAGACAGCCATAGTGTAAACAAAGCTGGGGGAGGGAAGCATTGTTTTACAGCAGACCACAGTAGCAAGGAGGGCTGAGAACCCACCAGGACACTAACCCTGAACAGGTCACACACTAAGCTTCTGGCACTGGAACTGCCCTGCTAGCAGGAACACCCGGATTAATAAACTTAGGTAACATCGTGAAGGTATTAGAAATGATATATGCCAAAATAATTAGATACCATTCTCATATAAATAAAATCTTTTTAAATAAAAATAAGCTTGCCAACTGCTAATAAAATGTGGGAAGCTGTTTTTCACTCATGTTTTTGGTTATGCCAAAAGTTTACCTGGTTGTGCCTGGCAATTTCTGGTGACTTCAGAATCTTACTTACCAAGGAGACTTACAACACTACTAATTATTAATGTCTTAAAAGGAAAATACCTTCAATGCCAAACCAACTTTTTTATTTTCATCTGTATATGGAGGTTTCCAGAGTTGAATTCTGTCTTCCCTTAAAAACTGGGTCAATTTTGCTTGGAGATATTTCTTTTGCGCCATCCTTGAAAGCAAAACAGTACATCACTGATACCCCATGCCACATTTCAAAGTGGTTTATAACTTACCTAATACACTGACGGGTTCTCTAGAGTAAGCAGAGGTCTCCTCCACTCCTGCTCCTGTTTAGTCTAAATTACTTTTAGACTAGGTTTTAACTAGCTCCAGGCTTCTCTAAAAGATATATATATTACATACAGACTGAAATATGTATTACATATGCAATTATATATATTACATAAAAATACGTATTTCAGGGCTTCCCTGGTGGCGCAGTGGTTGAGAGTCCGCCTGCCGAGGCAGGGGATACGGGTTCGTGCCCCGGTCTGGGAGGATCCCACGTGCCGCGGAGCGGCTGGGCCCGTGAGCCATGGCCGTTGAGCCTGCTCGTCCGGAGCCTGTGCTCC